GTTCATTTAAATGTGTCAGTTAGTTGATGAAAAAACTAGTGAGACTGAGTGAAACAGTCAGCATTTTATCAACTGATTCGCCAAGCTGATCGTCCAGAATCATCAGGAACAGATATCCTTTGCCAAAGAGAGAGATTATACAAATCAGAACTATATCCTTAGGCCACGGCGTGAACGAAGACATTTACCGTTTCAGGTTTGCCGACTTGAAGGTTTGTTTCTCCTACGACCTGCTTTAGTACACCATAAAAAGATAGGTGTCCTCTGTCCGTATCAGAAAGGGAGAACAACAAAGTTTAAGGTGCTAAAATTTGACTTTTTTCTCGATTGATGTTCTCTAATTTGTTTGGAATCTTCTCTCTACAAATGTCCAGTTTTCTGAGTTGCTTTAACGTTCAGGAAGAATAGGCAAGATACCGATAAGTTGCAGAATATTTTACTATAATACAGTGGTTATACTCAAGGATGGTAAAATAAGCAGAATGATACAACCTATGGAAGTACGATATTCAGCTGCACGTCCTTATCATACAGTCACAAGTACAGGGCACTACTACTGTTTTCCTTAAGTATTTGTCCTGTGCAAATGATATCAACATTCTTGAAAAGAGCATCATATGGAGCCATTTTTTTCTCAGGTCACGCTGCAATAAGCGATGAATCTATTACATGAAAATAGCGCAGATTGACTTCTCTTGACCTTGTAGCAGTGCGTTATCACTCATAAATGCTAAGTACCGGATGAAACTACCGGGGTTTACGATATGTCGAAACATGTTACTATTCTTGAGGAGATCATACTTTCATTTGAGACCATCAGATTTTCAGAAATGTTGTTATGGACGATTGTTAAGTATATCTTCCAAAAGGAAAACAATAAATGTTAAAAGTTAAAAACATGTAAGTGTTAAAGCAACACGGCACTCACACTTTGCTTGTGAAATGTGTACTAAAGCGGGGACTACGGCGGTTAGTTCACGTTTTGAAAAAGGAATGCTGATTATCTGGCGAGTAGCGTTAAGCAGATCGACCATTTACTGAAGCCTAGAGTAAAAGCAAGTCAACGCTGAGCGAGACGTCATTTGGCAAACTCAGCTTAACTCCGCCTAAGCCACAAGGATCCCTTAAGACCACTGGATGTGGCGCACCAGTTGGTCTTTCATTTGAGAGGATCATGAAAACTGAAACAGTTTTTTATCCACTGTTTCTACCAAAGGTTCTGTTAATTGTCGCTATGCAATGGAAAGATTTCGGTGAAGCGAATGATGAGACTATTCATTTCTTCTGGTCTGAATGAAAGCGTAGTCCAGCATTAAAGTACGCCGTTGCATAGCCCATTGTTGCTTGGACATTCTTAACGCAATTAATTAAAAAATTTCTAAATCGAATTTCAAAAAGTTTTTCAGTTCATTTAATGAATTTCAGTACCACACAAACGTTTCGCTTACACGCAGTCATCTTTGGGCAGAAGATATCCCTTTTATTGGTGGTGTAAATGGCTTTTCAGACGTTTTTTACTTGTATGATTATTGTTAAAATTGTTAGCCTTTTGATTCGATAGTTTTGAACACAAGTAATAGGTTGTTGTTAAAATATTTTTGCCCACGTATTGGCCATGCAATTCATCTTCCTCACCGCACTTACTCAATATGCAGACAACACATGTTACAATTAAGCTTTCAGTTATCATTGTTCGTTTATCATTAAACTGTTTGTAGGACAGTGTATTCGGAGGCTCTGCTTGGACTTGGTGTGAAGAGCGAAAGCAATTTTATTTGCATCAGTTTCTCAGCAGCCAACCGGATTTGAATTATCGATGTTCAGAACTTCAGCAAGAAATGAAGAACATTCTTTTGTTTTGGCTAGATATAGGTGTCGATGGCTTTCGCATAGATGCGATCATACATTTAGTAGAAGACGCATTGTTTCGAGACAACGTATCAACGTTCGGTGGTTGGACAAGATTATGGTCAATACTTAGACGCAAGAAGCTGAAGCCGATTCGCTATAACGTCAATCAGCCAGAAACGTATGACGCTGTTAAAAGCTGGGTGGAGCTGGCTAGAAGTTATGGCAAGTCCCACGACAGGTATATTTTCATGGTAACCGAAGGGTACACTGCTTTAGAACATATAATGAAGTACTATAAGGCAGGAGTGGACTTTCCATTTAACTTTGCGCTGACTTGCTGGAAGAAAGGTACTGATGTTGAAATCCTGAAGTTTTGGATCAACCAGTGGTTAGACCGCATGCCGTCAGAGAGTTGGCCAAATTGGGTTCTCAGCAACCACGATTTACCTCGAATTGCAACTCGTTTAGGAGGTT